ATGTGATTAATATGATTTTTCTTATTAATATTTCTAAAGAGATATCTTAGAGAAATAAAAATATTTCTCGGTTTTCCGTTTTTCCCCTATTTTGACAGACATATCAAGAGGAAATAATAAGAATTTCGTATAAATAACATATATGAAAAGGAATCTCAAGAAAATACGAAGAAATATTCTTAATATTATCAATAAGAATTTTCGCGGCAAACCAAAGAGCCTCAGCCTAAAAATTGTTCATAGAGACAATCTTATTAATTTTATTAGGTACTTTTGGCTCTGTGTAGCGTTCCATTATTTTGAAATATTTGAATATTAAAATTAATCAAATAGAACTGCAAGAAAATCGAGCAAATTAAGTCAACGAAAGTTTTAAGACATGAACTTTTCTTGCACTGAAAATGAAAAGTTGTTCCATAAATGGTTCCCTAATGATAAACAATCTGAGAGTTGAGTTGATCCAGCTTTCCTCTGGTTTAGAATTAACAACCATGGTTCTCATTGAAAGGATTTTTCATCCCACACGCTGGCGCCCCTCTCATTGTTAACATTAAGTTTATAAAACTTTTGTTCTCGTTTTATTCTCAAGAAGGACGCTCCCTAGACTTTTTTTTGTTATTTGATCCTCCTTGAAAACGTTATCGATACTTTCTAATTCGTTCTAATTTTGTTTTCATTGGAAGCATTTCCGATAGTTTTTTTCTCATTCTGTTTTTCTTGAGAACGTCCCCGAGAGTTTTGTTCTCATTTTGTACTTTTGTTCCCGTTTGGTTCTTATTTGGGAACATTCGTTACATTACATTTGATGTTATGCAGCACTAAACCAAAACTGGAACGCGTTCTCGGTCCTTAGTATAATCAAGCAGACAGTTACAATCTTGTGTAAATAGAAACATTGACAGTTTAATATAGTGGTTACGGTTGCCAGACGTACTGATTTTATCAGTACAGTACTGATTTTTCAACTCTTGTACTGATTTTATTCATTTCTTCAATCAGTACACTAATGCCCTGTTTTTCACAATTTGTACTGATTTGTACTGAATTTTCTAATCAAACAAAATACTTTAGTATTTTCTTAAGGTTTTTACATAACGTTGGAACTTCCTTAAACTGTACTGTAAAAAATAAGAAGAAAATAATTTAATTATAGTTGACATGTTTTAGATAATGTTTGATATGCCCAAGAAATTAATACAACAAAAAGATCAATTGTTTTATGGGCTGTCGCCGGGTCGTTACGTACCACTTGCGATAATATGATGGAGCTTAAATTATTTGAAAAGGCTTAAATTTTTCTCGAGTGATGTTAATTATCTCGAAAATAACTTTCAGTTTAATAACAAAGAATTTCAATATTCGAATGGCTTTTGCCTATAACTTACAACTCCTTTTTCCCAATTTACTGACTCTGTAAAATAGTTTTGCATACAAGACATAGAGTTAGATACTCTTTTTAGCGAATTCCTATACTTTCACAGTTTTTGCGTAGTTGAAAAATTATTTAAGCCACGAGGAAATATAGATGAAAAAAAGGTATTTTTTCCATTTAAATGTTTTTTCTCAGATTTATTCAAACGAAGTATACAAATTGCATATCAGAAGAAAGCGGGTTTAATCACGTTTGCGACGATATTAATTTTTTTTAAATCAGTTCAAACTTGTTTTAAATACCGCGCCTATGTTTTTACTTTGTTTAGTAGTTTACATACAGTAATTTAAAATAATTTTTTACCAAAGGTTCAATTTCGAACTTCGAACGGAGAAATTACTTTTTTACCTATGACTCAATCTTTAAAAAAAAATTGGTTTGGTCCAATACTTACCCAGAAAAAAAATTGATTTTGTGGTACAGTGTTATTGATATTAAAAGTCACAAATATAAAATAATTTATTGGCTCCTGTATATAATGATGTGTACACTCATGTTAAAATGAATAACGCTTTTATTTTTTATGAACTATATTCTATTTATATACCAAAATATTGTTAAAAACAAGAACTCAGGCGTTTTAAATTATAGTCTGTTACTTACATTCATAATTATGCTTTGAGTAAAAATGTACTGACAAGTGCTGATTTTTTTAGCATGAAAAAGTCTATTGTACTGATTTCGCGCATATAAAATCTGGCAACCCTAATAGTGGTTCAGATGAAGTCTGAGAGTAGGTAAAATTTTACATATTGTTACATCACTATTTTGTACCACATGTTCGCTCCGCCTTCGTAAACGAAATCCACAGTTCGGATATAGCAAGTGATGATAATGCAGAAATTTTAACTGAAGATAAAACTGAAATCAATATTCTCTGTGTTATACATATGCTGCGAACAGGAACGACAACTTTTGTTTGTTCCATGCCATGGCGGAATTCTACCAGGTGAAGTAATTAGAGAAGAAAGATTTTGACACTGCCCTATTGGAAAAATTGCCTTTAAAATTTGACTATAAGGCAGCCGAATGTCACAAAATAAAGCGAGAAAGCTGTTTTATTACTTCACCTGTTTATTGCGCTATGGTTCCATTTTAAGGTTTTCCTACAATGTTTTCAACATATTAAAAAGCATGCAGACAAAATTCATACAAAACGCTATGTCCAATTTGCCGAGCAGTTAGACGCTTTCCCTATATTTTGTTAGACTTTTCATAAGTAAAAATATTTGTTTAATTGTGTTTTTGGAATAAACAAAGTTCTTTTCCTTCTGTCAGTAAACTGTTTTTATTACAAATAGTATAAATAAGCAATGGGAAATAGGCAAAATTTGTTTTATTTCCAACCTTTGTTCATCCCCCGCTGCAACCCTTGCGGAAATATGTGCAGTTTTGCCAGCTATCAGTTGTTTTTCGAAGTAAGCTATATGAAGGAAAAGAAAGTGAAAGGAAATTAAAAAAAAACACTCATCAAATACTAATTTATTGTAAAGTGGTTTGATTTTACATATTTTGAGTGATGGATTCTGTTGCATTTGAAATTGTAGCAGCGGAGAACGAGAGCACTGTGGCAATGTATTCCAAAAATTTTGCCAATACTAGAGCTTCATTGCCTTTGGGATGCGGAGCTGCGCGCATAGTAACCATGGATCCATCTATGTACTAAGAACTGGTTATCAATCCAGTTAATGCAATAACAGCTTCCAAGTCATTGAAAATATGCATTTCGTTAGGTCCACCACATGTTGCGCTTGCTTCTGCTGTATTGGACATTAACTTTCGTTTGATATAGCATTCATCATCTAGCCATACCTGAGAAAAATTTGATATTAATACCTTATTACTGTGAGGACGTTTCACGTACTTTTTTCCAAGCTGCTACTTCTTTCATTGAAGGCCCAAAGGTATTTAAGAGACTTACTCATCGACTTAAACTCTCTAGAGTATCGCAAGTATTTATCCTTGTGAGATAGGGAATTTGAAAGTTTGAATTTCTTAAAAAACTTGTTTTTTAAATCCTTCAATTTCTTAAGTTCTTTGTTATACCAGGGAACCCTATAGATCTTTTTATGCACTATTGGTATATTATCCACACAGATTACATTAATTTCTTGTTTAAAAGTATCGAAACAATCCGAAACATCGTCACAAATAACGAATCCCAGTCTACGGATGAAACCGCATCATTTACAACATCAAAAGTTGAATTTTTTTCCGCTAAAACAGAACTAAACTCATAAAACTCTAATTGAAGGATAAGCGGAACATGATGTAGACCGGGAGTCGATAAAGGGTCAAGGCACTTATTAAGTGTGAAATTCATATCGTTACTAATAAAGATAACATCTAGGATTCTTGATAGCTTATTAGACAAACTGTTATTTGCAATAGGTGAATACCTAAATATCAATAACATAATATATTGTAGATTTGGCCCCGATACCAATTCATAAATGCAAAATATTTGTATGAAACTTGAATTGAATTGCGTTTTCCCACAAAATTGAAATTTTAAAATACTTCGTTATATTATTAAACGTGCGATATGTTGAAAAAGGTTTCCCCCCAAGAATTGCTGCTGGGTCCGCCCCTGACCTGGCCTGATGATAATCAAAGTTTATATATATGTGGCAACAAACGTCCTTTTTTGTTCCTTCATATAAAACAGTGGATAAAAGAATACGTAAATACTACATATATGCGAAAGGAAAATTTATCTGTTTAAAAGAACACCAAATACACATCAACTCCAAATATACATCAACTTACATATTTTTGCTTAATTTTAACCTCGCTTCCGATTTTCGCAAAACATTACGCAAAAAATTTGTGAATTTCTTACTCCCTCGTTTTTAGGGGGTTCTGACAAAATATTTCTTTATTTTCACTATTATTTCAACATAGTTTGATAAAAAGAAAAATACTGACAAAAATAAAATATTTCACACAAAAAGGGTTGAAATTTTGAAATTCGTGCCCTATTTTAATTTGTAAGTCCAATATTAGCGACATAGTGTTACTATGATAGCACGGCCGAGTAACCATAGTCAACTTATGTACAGTAGTCGAGAAATTATAGCCGCACCAAATTGTAACAAGTTGTAAAGTATTATTTTTGTTGTGATTTAATTTTGGTTAGTTTTTTATAGTTCATTCTTTAAAAACATCTGTAACAAAAATGAGCGCAATTCGGCAAACATTCATCAATATTTTGAGCTTTTTAGTCAGATTTCTTCGAAACATTATGAGTACCGTTAATTTTTGGTAAATTTTTTTGTGGAAGGTGTTGCTAATTTTCTCCATACAAAAAATATATTTGAACGTAGTACTTTGGATGGAAGAAAATGCGCGGACGAAAAATTGCCAAAAATCTAGGGTACTACTTCAAACTTGTCCTTTATTGTACTAAAATTAAGCGGGCTGCAAAACTACACACTCAAGCCAATTCCAGAAAATCTGATTGAAAGGTTTAAAATTTGTTACAAATCGCCGAATTTTTATACATGTTCTACAAAGTTTGAAATATTGATGATAATTTGAATATTTAATCGTTTACGATTTCTTTTTCAGATGGAGCCCATTTCAGGCATGTACCATCGGCTTACGTGGGCTATACTTCTGTTAATGCCAATTATTTTTCACATAAAGACAACAGGTATGTATGCACCATACCTTCCAACATATTTACCAATTTTAACTACCAACGTAACGAAAGATATATTCGGTAGCATACTATAAAATTAAGATAGATATGAAGCTCTTATTCATAGTATGGTATTCCCATGCCAGCCGGTTCTACGTAACAGAATGACTTGGATTGTACCCGACCAATTTCTGTTGTTTTCGCGATCTCACCCTCTTTAGTCTGCGAAATCTATTAAACGTTATTCGTCCATGGGCAAAAATCTACTCCGTATTCTTCTGATCATGGCTGACATCGAGTCAAACCCTGGACCAGAACCCACACCTGCTGCGTATGCCAAAAACGATTACAAACTCTACTTAAGTCAGGTGCTGTTCTCACCGAACAAATAATGCGGCTTCCGCAGTGCGAACAACACACGCCACGTGTCGGTCCCACTATACTCATAGTAGGCTGCCTCCATGGCCCACCGGCTTTCACCTGAGCACCCACGATCGGAAAACAATTTTCTGCTACCTGCATCCGTATAAGTTTGAACTTCCGCCCAAATATGCATTGTATTACTTATATTATTTCATTTTACAAAAATAATCTTATTAAAATGAATTATAATTTTTCCTATGATATCATCACTGTTAAAGTTGTAAACGAAAATGAAACGCCCTCAAAATTGGTTCTAATATTCTTTAGTTTATTCCTTATTTTAAAGTGTAGTTTGCTGTAGAAAACCAACTTACTTTCCCACACGCTGATGAAACGAAGAAGGAATAGACAAAAACAATGTGACAGCCCGGTGGTGAGTGCCCGTCGTACAGTTTCCCAGCATGTAGCTGTTTGCATGGTACAACGGCGCAGAATTGAGTTGCTGTGTTTTTATGTAGCATAAACAGGGTTACGTTCTAACATTTCCTTCCCACCTCGTCAACTTCTGACGAACTATTTGCCACCTTTCCGACCACCGTGTCTAAATTCCGCCCACCATGTCCAGGTTCAATGGTTGTATCCAATGGTAATACAGCAAGCTTCGAAGTTGCTCGTTTTACGGTGGAACCTTGCGTGCGAATAGTAGCTACTGTTACGAGACCATCTGCTCCAGTATAGACTTGCAGGATGCGCCCGAAGGCCAATTCATGTGTGCGGTCCTCTCGTCTCGAACTAGCACCAAATCCCCCACGTTGATGTTTTTTGTTTGGTACTGCCATTTATGTCGAACTTGCAACCCCACCAAGTACTCTGTGCTCCAACGTGTCCCCAAATCTTGTTGCATCAGCTGCAGCTGTTTCCATCTCGATAGCCGATTGATGTTTGTTTCTAAAAGATTCGGTTCTGGACTGGAGATAAGTGCTTTACCTACCAGGAAGTGTCCAGGTATCAACGAAGTAAAGTAGGTAGAATCATCACATAACGCCGGAATCGAACTTGAATTAAGCACCGCTTCCGCTTGCTTGAGAACGGTGTAAGATTCTCCGAATGTTAAGGCTGCATCTCCAATAGTTCGTTTTTAATGATTCTTCATCTGCTTGTCGCCCGCCTCCCAGAGGCCACCGAAAGTCGGCGCAGAATTGCCCGGCAGCCTTCATCTGCTAATTATACGCATCTACATCAGCGTTCTAGATGAACAGCACGGGTGCTATAACATACGAAGAGTGCAACATAAAAGGACTGCCATAATCTATACCACATCGACTTAATGCGTTGGCTGATGTACAGCGGTGCTCCGGCAAGCTACCTATAAGTTGATTCGTTCGTTTGGGTCGCTGCCGAAAGCGCCGCATCAGTTATGGATTAGTATAGCGGAGCGAGAACTAATAATTTAATACTGTTGTCGTTTGTGATTAAGCGGCGTTAAGCGATGAGCTAGAACCAGCCGACGGAATGGGTTTTCCTCCGGAAGCATAATTGCGAATTTCTCCTCGAACGATAAAAATTAGTGTTTTATTCGCCCATTGACTCGCAGTATTTTCTCTTCGTCGAGCATGGGATCATGTTGACAAAGTGTGCTTTTCACATGTATTCGTTCTCCTTTAAGTAGGGACGAAATTAGTTAAAAAAATTAGTACGTTCCACGTACCTTATCCAAAACTTCATGGCCTTGTTTGTTTTTTGGCTTGTGGGGTTCCTTCATAATAACATAAACAAACGATGGCACCACGCTGTGACCGCAAGAAGGGTGTTATCGTGCGAATACTTAAGCAAGAATACATCAGTAAATGGTGGCTCTTCCTTGAATTTGGTAGTATTGCATATTGGTTTTTGCTCGTGAACGGGATTGTGTTTTGCGGGTTGAATTGGCCAATGCTGTTCATTTTGGCAAATCCCCCTTGGTCCCATCCACCAAGTCTCCAATGTGAACTACTTGTTCTTCTTCTTCTTTATTGGCGCTGTAACCGCCTAAGCGATTTTGGCCGAGTCCAAAACAGCACGCCAGTCATTTCTCTTCTGTGCTAACTGACGCTAATTGGAAATGCCAAGTGAAGCCAAGTCCTTCTCCGCCTGGTCTTTCCAACGCAGAGGAGGCCTTCCTCTTTCCCTGTTACCAGCATCGCGGCCCGCGTTGAATATTTTCAGAGCAGGAGCATTTCTGTCCATTCGAACGCCATGGCCAAGCCTGGGGAGCCGCTGAATTTTAATTCGCTGCACTATGTCTATGTCGTTGTAAAGCTCATACAGCTCATCGTTAAATCGTCTGCGATATTCGCCATCACCAACGCGTGAAGGTCCGTAAATCTTTCGCAGAATCTTTCTCGCGAAAACTCCAAGAGCCGCCGTATCATATGTTGTCAATGTGCATGCCTCCGCGCCAAACACCAGCACAGGCATGATGAGTGTCTTATAGAGTGTGAACTTTGTACGAGGAGACAGGACTTTACTTCTCAATTGCCTACTCAGCCAAAAGTAGCACTTGTTGGCAAGGGGGATTCTACGTTGGATCTCAAGGCTGACGTGGGTGCCAAGACGCGTATGATCTGACTGTCTGTGTGATGACCGGAGATACTTAGTTTTGTCCTTGTTCACCACCAGACTCATTCGCTTTGCTTCTATTTCCAATCCCGAGAAGGCAGAAAAGACGTAGCCCTTGTTTTTACCGATAATATCGATGCCGTCGGCATACGCCAGCAATTGTACGCTCTTTTAAAGTATTGTGCCTGAGCGGTTAAGTTCTGCGGTTTTTATTATCTTCTCAAACATCAGATTAAATAAATCACACGAAAGGGAGTCCCCCTATCTGAAACCTCCTTTGGTATCAAACGGCTCTGAGAGGTTCTTTCCTATTCTGACGGGGCTGGTGGTATTGCTCAACGCTAATTTACACAGCCGTATTAGTTTCGCTGGATACCAAATTTCGACATCGCGGCATAGAGGCAACTTCTTTTCGCGCTGGCGAAAGCGGCTTTGAAATCGACAAATAGATGGTGTGTGTCGATCCTTTTCTCAAGGGTCTTTTCCAAGATTTGGCGTATTGGGAATACCTGATCTATGGTGGATTTTCTAGGCCCAAAGCCACACTGATAAGGTCCAATCAGTTCGTTGACGGTGTGCTTCAGTCTTTCGCACAATACACTCGATAAGACCTTATAACCTATGCTTAGAAGGCTGATTCCGCGGTAGTTGGCGCGTATGGCGGGGTCGCCTTTCTTGTAGATTGGCAGAACACACTTAAATTCCAGTCGTCGGACATGCGTTCATCTGACCATATTCTGCATACGAGCTGATGCATGCACCTCTTCAGCTCCTCGCCGCCGTACTTGAATAGCTCGGCTGGCAGGCCGTCAGCCCCAGCAGCTTGTTGTTTTTCAGCCTCATAATTGCTATTCGTACAACATCATAGTCAGGCGGTGGGATAGCTCATCCATCATCATCGACTGGGGACTTGGGTTCGTCTTCTTCACTAGTTTCAGCGCTGCTATCATTCAGTAGGTTGTAAAAGTGTTCCCTTCACAATTTAAGTATTTTCAGCACATCGGTCACTAGGTCGCCGTTTTTGTTCTTACAGGTGTTCGCCCCAGTATTGAGACCTTCCGTAAGGCACCTAACCCTCTGCTAGAATTTTCGGGCGTTATTCTTGTCGGCCAGCATCTCAAGCCCTTCGCACTCACGTATTTCGGCCTCTCTCTTCTTTTTGCGGCAAATACGTCTCGCTTCCTTCTTCAGTTCCCTATAACGCTCCCACGTGGCTCGCGTTGCGCCCGATCGCAGCATGGCCCTATATGCGGCGTCTTTTTTCTCTGCGGATTCTTGACATTCCCCTTCGGCGGCGGTACGTAATGATCGGGAAATGTGGTTCCACTGCTCGCGTATGTCGGATTGTTGAAGAGTGCTCTCAGAGAGCAGGTGTGTGAGTCGAGTGGCGAATAAGTTGTCACGCACATTTTTGCTGCACAGAGGCGGGTGCGTATCTTAGCTACAACAAGATAGTGGTCCGAGTCGATGTTTGTCCCTCGGAGTGTACGTACGACTGAAACGCCTTCCGCACGCATGCCTTCCGTCTATCACAATATGATCGATTTGGTTTCTCGTTTTTCGATCTGGAGACAGCCATGTAGCTTGGTGGATGTTCTTATGCAGGACCCTAGTACTAAATATTACCATGTTTCGTGCCCCGGCTAAATCAATCAGCCTCCGTCCGTTATCGGACGTTTCGTCATGGACGCAGATGAGCGAGATGTTGAAGAATCTAGCTTTGATGAGGGCTTTGGCTGTACGTTCTTCCCCCGGGGTGAACGCCAGTACTGGGCGACGAAGTCTCTATCTTGCCACGAATCCAACACCGAAATTGCGCACCTTTACGTGCCAACTGTAGCAGACGTCGCAAGGCTTTACACTTACTTTTCCTTGCCCCGTCCATCGCCATTTCTTGGATGGCGGTGATGTCAGCCTTTGTCTTCCCGAGAACATCAACCAGCCGGGCAGAGGCACCTTCCCCATTAAGGGTCCGGATATTCAAGGTGCATACCCTTAAATCATAGTCCTTTACACGTTTGCCGTGGTTGTCATCAAAAAAATTAGGTCTC